CTAGGTTCGAATCTCACACTTTACATTTATTTTTTTCAATTTAATTTTTCCGAGTCAATTTCAAGCCGAACACGAACACAAATATTTAAATCGAACCGAACACGAACACACTGTTCACGAGCCAATTTCGAACACGAGCCGATCTCGAGCACGAGCTATTTCGAACGTGCCAAACACGAGTCAAGCCTGAGCTCGCTCAAGCTCTGCTCGTTTACAGCCCTATATACGAGCTTCTTATTTGCATTGTGTTGGGAGGAGCAACAACAAAATTAGGGGATCTAAAAAAATAAATCATTTTTAACGATCAATTTGTTTCAAGAACTTTTTTTTTTAATTCATTATAAATTTTGAGAAAAGAATGATATGTTTTAATAATAAAAAAATGTTACCCTCCTAGAATTTTCAGCATTTCCTTCTTGACTCTTGGGTTAATTAGTTCCCTGTCAGGAAGCAAATTGGACATTTAATTAAATTCCTGTCACAAATTAAAATTAATAATTATAGCTTAAACAAGTTGTATAAGTAATCCCCTCTTGTGCTAATTGGCAAGGGCATATTAGTAATTAATTATGTTCAAATTTTATAATGACTTCAACAGTTAAATAAATAGATAGAAAGATTTCCAACATGTGACATATGCCATACCACAACCTAATATAGGTCTTAAATTGAACAAAGTTTTCATTTTAACAAATACTAAATAATTAAGAACATTTTCTCTTAAGAAGATAATTCATACCTACGCTTGCAAGTAAAAAAATAAAAAGAAAATGTTGTGTCATGCTACCATCATATTAAATTCTTCTATGGAGTAGCATGAGGCATGAGATTGGGTAGGTAAATTAGTCTTTGTATATATATCTATCGGTAAATGTTTCTCCTATTTATAGAGAATGTGGTTGAATAGTGATATAACATTTTTATCTTTATTTGGAGAGGATCTATACTGAGATATTTCATATTTTACAAGCGATGACTCATCGTCTGGTCGCTTTCTGGTTCGACAGGGTAAGCTTAGTTGGCTTGGCTTGATTGAGTTAGCTCGGTCGACTAACTCAGCCTAGTTGGCTGTCTTCAATATCTGGCAAGAAAAAATCTGACCTTTGCTGGATAGTTGATGTTGTTTTGTAGAAATGACTCTTCCATTGGGTTGGCTCTACTGCAGAATAAATTATTGCATCTAGTTGGTTTTGCTATAGAAGACTTTTTGGACATCTTCTTGACTTGTTTTTGAACGAATAGTTTTAATCATGATTTTTTAGTCGTCTTTTAAACTTAGTCTGGTTTGGCCTAGTTTACTTGGCTCGTCTGGCCTGGTGTCACAATACGTATTGATACGCCACCAACAAATTATCATAACCCAGCACGAATCTCGATGCAATATTTTGAGCACGAACATTCAAACTTTGATTATGAGTCATCCGGAATTCTGATTTCAGCAAAATTATAGTCAAATTGATCGGCTTGATGAAACGGATCTAATGATATAAAAATTAGTCCAATCTGAGTCAAATCAGGCTCGAATCAAGTCATTAAATCACAACTACGAGATTTTCGGAGACGTTTGAAAGGTCAAACAAATGTCGAATCCAGTGAGTTTATAGTCGAATGGAGCATCTCAAAAAGACGAATCCAACGAGCTCAAGATTGCTCAATTCTGACATCGTTAAGGCACTCAAATGTCCATCAAACGTCATCTGATCAAGGGAAGCTCTCCGGATCGCCCGATCAAAATGGTTCATATTTCTGCATTAATTGCACTCAAAACACTATAAATAGAGCCTCACCCCTCACATGAAAGGAAGAGGCTGCAATCTCAAGTTGTCTAAGAAAAAAATCAATAATAGACATTTATGGGTTAAATAATGAGAGAGGATTGAGATGTTACCTTTATTCTTATTTATTTATATATCTAATATCTAATTTTTTTTTCTATAATTATATAATTTAATTATTTTATTTCACATCAATAATAATAATATTATTATTTAATTATGAAATATATTTTTCATGATATAAATATATATATGCGCCGCGTTATCAGCTCAATTAGCAGAGCATCTGTTTTGATGGTGTAAGTCCCTTCTGAACTAGGGTTATATTGGGGTGGTGCTCCAGTGGTTAATCACATGGATTCAACCAATACCTGACGGGTTGTGAGCCGGGGGTGGGTAGCGGTTCCGCCGGTCAATAAACTTTTCAATATATATATATATATATATAT